CCGTGCTGGTCGTGCTGATCGCAGGGTCTGTCGGGGTCACTGTTATCGTGTCGTCCAGGGTTGTTTCCAAGGTCGTGCGACGTCGAATACGGGGGTTGCGTAGAGGTGCACCGACAGTGATGACGTGAACACGTTGGGGGTAGGGAGACAGAGAGAGATAGATAGATAGAGGGGCAGACAGAAACAGAGAAGCTGGGTGAGCGAGATCGCATGGTGATTAATATCGTGTAACGTTGCTTCGAGATCCTCGAATCGAACAATTTTTTTTACGATATTCGCGGTGATTCGCGGATAATTTAGATTGAAATGAGATGACTCTTTCGTTTGTGATTTCGAAGCAACGTGACAACTCTTTGGAGAAAAATATTAAACGTGTAATATGTAATAGTAGAATAACGAGTGACTAATACGATTTAAGATTATTTTATCAATGGAAGTTGTCAATTTAATCGAGTCTCTAAATAAATATCGCTCTAAATTCATCACGCAATTCCTATTTACACGTTGTTATATTATTATCTCGTATATATATAGATATATATTCTTTTTTTAGATGAAATAAATATTCGAAAGATCTTCATGGACGTTTAATCGAAACAAAAGAGACCGCGAATAACGATCGAAGAAATAATTAAATGGAATATTAGGAAAATAAGTGATCGTATGAGACTCACCAGCTTTCGTGGGTGACGTAGCATGCATTGTCGAAGTTCCGGTTGTCGGCACCGCTAAACCACCATACAACACCATGTACCATTACCGTATCACCATGTGTGCGACTCTTGATCAGACAGAGAAACTTCCGACGTTTTTCTTTCGATGTTTCGCGATTTAGTGTAGCGTAAAACCACTCATTGTTCTCGAAACTATGGATCATCTCTACGTCGATCATTGTTTCTCTGATTTTAAAGTCTCTCTGTCCAGTCACGGATCGAATGTGTCCCGAAATAAAACAGGGATTCGAGCAAGGGACGTTCGAGGCAAATAGAGAGGGAATCGATGATCGGAATGCGCGCATTCGACTGACATTCACGATAGAAAGCTGTATTTGTACGTTGTATGCGTCTGCAGACAGAATCGGACGGAATTCGAAGGATACGTATGGACAGATGGATAAAGCCATAACGGGTTGTCGATAATAATTTACGATATAGTATTGAATTATACTTTTAAATCTCTTTCTTTCGTTGCTGACGATATTATAAATTTTTTAATCTTATCGATTGTCAGATTTATACGATATTGTCATGCGATTTGATTGACTTTGAAGTTCGTATCGAAGTTGAATCGATTATTTTAAATAAATTTTGGTGATAGAAACAATTTGTAAATGAAAATTTATCATATAGAGAGATTAAGGGATTAAGATTAATGTTACGAGAAATTATCTACCGACACGGAATACGAATAGGCGTACCTTTTTAACACGTGAAAGCACGCACGAGCAATCTTCGTAAAAGAGATTATCTTCTCAAAGGAAATGGCTGATAGGAGATGGTTCAATAACATATCTTGGTACCATCAGGGATGACAGGAATCGTGGTGAACGTTTTGGAGACAGGGAACTTTGATAGACAGGATCTAAATTTATTGCTCTGATCGCTGTGCCTGGCTACACATGTGAAATTCAGCGCAAAGCCAATAATAAGATTGTGGAAAATGTTCTTTCGTATTTCATCTGCACGATTTTCGGACCAGGATCGATCTTTCGACTCGGATCAGTTTTAGATGATCTCTTATTTTATAATTACTAATCGAATACAAATTTTTAACTCCGTTGTAATTGTATTGTTCCAATTTCAGTTTGCAAATTTCACTTCAATTTTTCAAATACGGCAAATAATCAACAATGACTCTCATTCCAAAAAGATTTTATAGAGATAAGATATTGACATAGATTCTATTTAATTTATATTTAAGATGAATATTCAATTTTTTTAAACTTATCTTTCTCTTTTTGAATAAATTTAAATAGATATAAAAAGAAATATATATAGAACAAGATATCAATCATCGAACTAGTCCGCAAATCGTAGAACCAGTCGCAAAGGACCACGCGAAGCATACGAAATCGATCATTAACAAATATTCGAAAAAAAAAAAAGAAATTTCCAAGATATTCTATCGATCGAATAGACTCACCAGTTGAATCGAAATCTCCATCCAACGGCCTGAGTGGCCTGGTTATGCTTTTTCTCTTCGACGGGGAATGTTTCAATGCTGAAACACAAATCAACGGGTTATTAATACCGCGATACTCGATGTAGGGTTGAAGGGTTGAAAACATCGATAAATACTGATGGAAATCGGAACGATTAATTGGAAAAAAGAGTCTGAGAACTGTGCCTATGTATCGTAAAAGAGGGGATGTATCAAACGAGTTAACGCTACAAAAGCTGACGTCAGTACCGTAGCAAGTGTTAGCTTATGCATGAAGCGTCGTATAATACTTGTTTTGAAAAAGTTCTCGCTGCGCTTCGTGTACACCATGTAAGTCGCGAAACGCATTACGCACGTCTCATTGCGTTGCAGACTTTCTATTTTCACACCGTATTTATCACGATACCGCGATTAATGTATATATAATGGAGTCGTTTGGCAATCATTATCGTCTCGATTAAAATTTTGATTATCAGTTAACCCTCTCAATAGCGACTGCATCGGTGTATACTTCAAAGAAGTTTTATTCCATTTGACTTCGATTATTCTTAAGTTTTAAAATGTTCGAATATTTCGTATGATTATTTTTTAAATAATTTAAAATCGAAAAGATTATCATAATTTTTCGCAAAATTTCGAATTCAATTCCCAATAATCCCAATTTATTATCAAATAAACCTCGCTACAGCACTGTTTGCCACGACTACGTCTAATAACTTCTTCTCCATAACGTCTGGAGCTACGCTTCTTTGATCTCTCTACGTTATCGGACAAGGGTTTGGGCTTAAACGAAGCTATACTACTTCAAAACGAGGGATTCGCCTCGAATTCGTCTAATCTCGAACTCGTCAATGTCTATTACATATAGATGGTAAAGCTGATACAACATCGAAAGCTTTCTATCTTATCCAAATTATATGAAAATTCTTTTTCTAATTTTCATCAGAATTAATAATTAATACTGTGTGTATCTTCTGCGATACACGTTACATTTTCTTCGTTATACTTGCCTTTTTTTTTACTAAATGTGGATAGAAAGATCGTAGAATATTTTTTTTTCTTTAAAAAAAAATATGAAAGAAAAATATATTGCTGTACTTGCTATGTAGAAAAATAAAAAATATCTATGAATTTTTTATCCACACATCGTACATTTTTGTATATACGTACATGAATATTACGATGACATCTTGTAGCGAATAAATGTTCAGAAATGTTCATTCGATCACGATCGACGAACATTTAATTATAATCGCTCGAACACGCGTAGCCACGGCCTTTAGGTTTTTATCAGACCGTATTGGCTTGTGTTCAGCTTTGATTAAAATCCAGACAACAAAGTTAATTAAAACGAGCCGCGATTCTCGATGTTATCTGGGAAAAATTATTCTGGTATTGGAGAAAAAACGATGATAGAATTCGACTCGCAACTACACATGTGAGCATCTTTGATTCAATTATCAATATTTTGTCTTCGAGATAAGAATAAATTTTCGAAAAACATATTCTTAACTCTTATAATTCTTTTTTTCACAGATCATTTATGAACCAATCAGAAGTTAAACTAATTGATTTCCACTTTTTATAACTATCTTAACTCTTACAAAGAGAATGCAAAAATTTTAGATTATCAATTTAATTTATATTTTAAATATTGATTTAAATTCATATAGATTTTATGATTTTGTTCGAAAAAATACCTAACACAGTAAAATATCAAGTTTCTTATAAATTTCTAGATCTATCTCAAGAAAAATTAAGCGATTTTTTCGATAAGTTTATCAAGTTTTACTTTTGTATGGTTCATACATTATCTAAAAATGTGCTTCATAACAAGATTTAATTCGTGGTTATTGTGATTAAGATCTGGACGTGTGAACATCATGTGTGTACATATGTATTTTTAGACAAAAATATATTCCTAACGAAAATTCTGATATACGTCATCCAGATCGTGGGAGTGTTAAAATATTAAAAATCCGGGCGCGACTATAAGCAGGGATTAGATATTTGTTCTTTAGATGCTTTTTGAAAGGAAAGTGACCTAGATTCGCGCAAAGAGATAGGGAAAAAAGGGTCATCGATCAAGAGTTGGGTAGTTATTTAGTGTACTTGAAAAATTGTGAACGTGTTGAAGCTTAAAAAAAAAAAAAAAAAAAAAAAAAAAAAAGAAGAAGAAGAAGAAGAGAAAGAGACAAGTGTGAGAAAATGATAACAACAAAGGAAGAGAATTCCAACGAGACATATAAAACTCACGATGCAAAAGCAGAGTGAAAATTGAAAAATCGATAAAAAAATCTCGATTATTTTTTCTTATAATTTTTGTACTCCGATTTTTTTTGCCAATGATACAAGATATTCATATTCTCGGTATAAAAGACAAAAATATTCGGAGTACATTTTGTACTATACAATGGATAAAAATTGGGGAATGCAAATATCTAAAATTACATTTGCACGATTACGTTTATATACATATGCTTGGGTAAAATATTGGAAAGATCGACTAAAGATAAGTGAGAAAGACAATCAAAGAAGCGTTGCAAGATGAAATCTTCGAATGTAAATATTATACTTGGAAAAGAATTTCGTGAAAGAAAAAAAGGAAGAGTGAAATATTGGCATAATATTTGTGAGATTAAAGAAGTGAATCAGATAACAAGAAAACGAAAACAAGTTCAGAAAGATATTTCAAATTTACGAACAATAAGCATATCACAAAAGATCAGTGTTAAATATAATATTCAAGGAAACGCAATCTCATTCGAATTCGAACGTGTTAAGATCAAGATTGAAAAAATAAAAAGTGAGAAAAATTAATAATTGCAAAAAAGAAAGCATTTTGCACTTACAATCTTTTCTATTTACAAATGTACACGTGTGACAACGCATCTACAATTACTATAAAAAAGATTAGTTTTACATGCCAAATAATGGACATAGGAGTGATGTATAAAAACCATTAATACTTTCAACGTTCTACGTATCAATTTCTACTTGAACTTGATATAGAAAAACTCACTTTGAGCAAAGACTGTATTTGCCAAAAACAGAAAAGCATCTAAATTAGTAGAAATTCGACGAGATGCAAATAGAAAGAATTTTATAATTAGTAGATTAGGAAAAGAAAGAAAAAAAAAAAAAAAGAAGAAAAAAGGAGAAAAAAATATTAAAGAAAAACACCAGCAACACGATAGATCGTGAAGCAATTCAAGGTACTCGAAGGAACAACAAACCAGATCGACACCAGAGATAGATTAAAAAGTATACGCATACAAGCAGATAAATGTTCGACGTTTATTTATCAAAGAGAAATTAAAAAATTTAAAAAAAAAAGGCAAGAGAGAGAAATAAAAAAAAAACAAACATACAACCATACAAAAATGGACAGACAGATGGACGAACAGACAGACAAAGTTACCTATGTAGCTGGTGACGAGGTTACGGAATTTGCGATGATTCCCCTTAATCTCAGGCAGGTCCACTTTTGGTATTCGATTTTCGAGTTTCGATCGGTAGCAGGTCAGATCAGGTCATTGGGGGTTGACACGAAAAGAAGTGCACGGGACACAAAAACATCAACATTTAGCTAACTCCGTACTTAAACATCTTTAATATATACCGGATTATTAAAACGATCGATAGATCATAGGGACTGCCGAGAATCAAAGTAGCAACACAAAGGAAAGCGGGGTTAATACGACGTTCTTGCCTCGATAGAATTAAAGAGATAGATAGATAGAAAGATAGAGAGAGAAAGAGAGGAAGAGAAAAGCGGCGATACAAGAATATCATTCTTGTGAACGATCTTGTGAATGAATTAATGATCAAATAAATAATTACAGTGTGTCATTTATTATATGTAACCTATCGCGAATTGATTTCCATTAAACGATATTAGTGATGTCTTATCGTGTCAGAAGTTCAATTATTCGAACATTGATATATATATATATAT